TAGTATAATATCAAGTGTGATGGCAAGATACACTTTAAAATATACTTCTTGTAGATGGAAATGTGCAGACACAGAAGTAGCAGTTCTACTTTCCTGGGAAAAGAAAATGAAGAACTTCCATCAGCTTGCTTGTGTTTGCAGCATCTTCCCAGATACCTGCTGCTTCATTCACGTTCACACCAGAAAGATGGAATAATTTCTCAGAGCTTGTAATAGGTTTACCTTTATGAAGAGTATGAGTTTTTCACTTGGTTTTTGATTTGGGGTTTTTTTGAAAATTCCTAATTTTTTTTCCAACTTACTGCAATGCTTCCTAGTTTAAGGTCTCTGAACACAGGGGTTTCATGGACCCACAGTTTGAAAACTGTTGTAATGTGAGGCAGGGCAATGCTGTGAATTCATTTTGCTTTAGGAATTGTTAATGGAATAATCCTATCCGAAATTTGTGTTTCCAACCATATAGGGTACTAAAAATAGGAAAGATAATAGATCTTTTTAGCTGTGAACTAGGATGTTCTTGTTCTAAGTGCTGTTCCAATACAGAAGAAAAGGTCAGTCCCAGCACCAAAGAGTTTAGACTTCAGAGAAGTGGCTGCAGACTGATGGAGGAATGAGTAAAAGAAAATAATAGAGCCATAACTGCTCAGACAGTGACACAAAAACATTGCCCAAATAATTTTGAGGTGGATTTTTCTAAAGCTTGGGGTGTTCATTGGATTCATCAATTTGATGCATTACAAAATCCCTGGCAAATTTCTTCTAGAACTGCCTCATTCATTACTTTTAACAGATCTATACACCTTGATGTCTCCATTTAAAAATACTGTCATTAAGGAATGAAACAATATCTGTGAGCCTTACACTTAGGATTATACTGAATTATAGAATGTTTCATTAGAAGTTGATTTTTTAAAAAAAAAGTTTGCAAGCGTTTTGAGTGAATATTGTTGAATAATATGCTCTCTGAAAGAAATAGCTTATGAGGAGTAGAAAATGGAACACACATGACCTAGCAGCCACACTGCTATACATTTCTCGTTTGTTGACTACTCTTTGGTCATCTTTGATAACAGCAGTGAAGAATTACAGTACAAGTTTTG